TATTTTAATTATTAATTTAAATGTAATAATGTTTTACTAGCATTTATATTCACTTTTGAATATTCGTATTATCATATAGCACCTAGGATAAAATTATTTTAAACAAAAAAGAATTCAAATTTATATTTAATAATAAAAAGCACATAAATATAAAAAGTTTTAAAAATTGTTATTTACTGCCGCGGTCTAAAGTTTTTTCGTAAATAACAGTGGTATATAGTATTTTTACACAAAAAATGGGACCTGTAGCTGCGAGGCCACATCAACCATGCTTATGTATACTGCAGAAAAAACTACTAAAATAAGCGTTTGTAATGTTTTAACTACCTCAAGTTATTTTGGCGCCATGAACACCTTCGATGTCTTTTGAACTTAGATTTCCCTTCTGTAGTAACGATGTCTTTCTTCTTGATGTATTTACACTCTGTGAGGATTTCTTAACGTTTACTGTGCTTTCTTTTTGTAGTTTTTCAAACACTTCCGTTCTTTTGTCACTTTCGATCAGTTCATATTCTTCTTCGCTCGATTCTCCAGCTTCGTAGGAAAACGAAGTATTAACACCCTTATCAGCAACCCAAGCATAAACGAATTTTATACAGTCGTTTTCTTCTCTACTTTCCGAATTCACGACAGCAGTATAATTCGTGTCGTTATTTACGAACGCGTTGTTAAATAAATCAGATGTAACAGTTGAGCATGATGTTATTAAAGTACCTTTTTCTTTTTTCTTACGTTTTGAATCACTAATTTCATTACAATTTGGCTCGTATTGAAAGGAACATGAGGATGTGTCTGGGTCCTTTCCGGTGCCATTACAATAGTCTTCTGAAATTTCTTCTATATTTTCCGAATTAATTACAGAAGTAAAATTCTTGTCGTGATTTATAAACGCCTTATTAAAAAAATCCGGTTTAGATGAGGAGATATCTAAGTCCTGTTCAACGACATTATAATCATCTGAAAATTCTTTAGAATCGTCATCATTTTTCATCGTTATACTGGTAATTAATTTTTTTTCATTACTAGTATTTATGTCACTAGAAATGTATGTTCTAATTTGGACATCGTCATCTTTTATAGCATTATTTAATATATCATGGTTTTCAGAAGAAACTGAATTCAAAGAAACATTTTGAAGAAAACTTACTTGAGACACACTGTTTTGAATTTCTTCTTTTTCACAGTCTAACAGTTGCTTTTCTAAGCTTTTATGTTCTTGATCATAATTTAGTGGACCTTTAATATTAGCCTCATTTTTAAATACTGATAGATAATTTTCACAAATGTTGTTACTAGTGTTTGTATCTATTAATGAATGTTTATCACTAATTTGTTTAAATATATTTATTTGTGAATTTGTAGTAACAGGACAAGGTTTTGATGCAAATGTTTCATTGCTATTATAGTTTGGATTATGAAGGTTTCCTAACGAAATTTCAACATTTATTCCCTTAAAATCACTTACGGTTTTATCAATGAAAGCTGAACCTTTCAGGTTTCCTTTTTTTTTATATTTTGATCAATCGGTAANAAATCTATAAAGAAAACAAATAAATGGGAAAGTATGAAAAGGAACATAAGTAAACTAAAACCATATTTACTGAAGGATAAAGAAGATGGGTAATAATGCTCTTCTAACTTCACTGCTCCCTTAAATTGGAGAATGGATTTAAAGTCGACTTTTACATCAAGCAAAGCTGAATTGTTTTCATTATCAACTGACTTTAGAAAATCAGAAATGGAGACAGTAATTGTATAGGAATCAACATGCTTGTTTCTCTTATGTAAATAGCCTATTCAAAGGAAGAAAAATTTACATTTTAATAATCACAAAGAAATATACACCCACACACATAAACTTACTTGGCATTTGCTCTTTATACCATTGGTTTAAATCAAACAGAGTTAAATAAGTATTCAACTGTCTGTCAGATGTCCAAGTGTTCCATGTAAAAAAACAATAAGAGAACCCATCTTCTGAAAACTCTTGTGTTGAATTTAGATTCGATACACTTTTGCTAATGGAAGATACGCCCGTGCAGCATCCTCCGATGCGGTTTTCGTCATTGCCTTCTATTAAGACGAGTTCTCGTTGAAATCTTACGTGACATGAGAATAACCCCTAAAAAACATTAATCAAAAATGGGTGTATTCGCATAACAAGAGAAATACAATTACATAAAAAAAATGTATGGCGAATTTAGTCGATGTTAAAACAAGTAATTTTTTCGTTGAGATTTATTCTTACAATGAAGAAACTGATATTTATATAAATTCCACTTTAAATTTAACAAATAATCTATATATGTAACAACTTTTTTGTTCGGTCACAGCTTACACGAGCGTTAATAAAATATGCGGCATAAGACTTTATGTATTTTCATAAAATTTTTGCGAGGAAAGTTAGTGCTCTTGTAAGCAATAATTTTGCAACTATCGTGGATATGTATATAGTGGTGAGTAGTATCAGAAAGGTGCATATGTCTATATAAGTAGAATACTCAAACACATGAGATGTTTTAAGAAAAATCATCGACTGAAACTCGTGTAGCGAAGCATCACTACTAGTTACATAATTTATTAATTTTCTTATTTTAAGTTATTTAAGATGTAGATGCTCACCTCATAAAAGAACCCGTATTTATCATGCCAAATTTTTGTATCAAACAGTAATGCATACATAACAGCCAAAGGAAATCCCAAACTGAAGGGCTCAACATTATTGTAAATTACCCAAACATAGCAAAAAGCTCTTGGGTCGTCACAAGGTTCCTTTACAAAAATGAAAGTGATTATTACTGACTAAAAGCTGACAGTTTGCTTTTGATTTATTCAATATAAATAAAATATTTTTTGAAAAATTAAGCATAGCAACTAAAAATCTATCTTTTATAGTGACTAAACAATCAACTCTCAACAAACATTAATTATTTTTCTTGAATAAATTATACGAATTGTTAAAATTATTGTGAAAAATATTGTATCCTAAAGTAAATAGTTTAGGCAGCTACAAAAGAAAGACTTTTAATTGCATCACTCTGGATATACCTGGACAGCAAAATGAGTAACTGGTGTATTATTGTCTAAAATTGGAGAAGTATAAACTACTTTCATTTCCTTTAGATTCCAAATTTGCCAAAGACCAAAATTATAACCGACAAATAAGGAACACAATTGAGAACAATAGTAGAGAGCAGTAATAACTACATTTTGGTTGCTAAGATGGCCTAATACTGTATCCTTCGGACTTTTTAAATTAAAAATTTGTTTTGAGCTACTTCCAAGATCTAAAAGAAACAAAAATTATTTTTTTAAATTCATAAATAAAACAACTTTACCATTTAAGTATATTGCCACATGTTCCATATTTAGATTTGCCAAATTTTTATGTGATTCCAATAATGAAATATCATCTAATTGTAAATCCATTGTTCTGCAGGCATTTTTTTCATCTTTAAAAACTCCGTGCATTGAAGTAGCTTAAAAAATAAAATATTTGTACAATTTGAAACAAAAATGAATACTAAAGCATACCATTTTCATATTCTTGTAAACATATATCTAACAAAAGTAAACCACCATATGAGGTCCCCACTACAATGACACCATCAAGTAATGCTAATAGTTCTGGTAGTAAACATTTGTTTCTTATTGTATTGATGATAGAAATTCTTCTTACCTATAAGTAACAGTTACCTTTCTATTCATTTAATATTATCATATTTACCTCATTAGGTAATTCAATGGCCCTTACAATTTTTGAACTTGTAAACTGAAATATACAAATCATACCCTTTTCTCCATTACATTTTAAACCTATTATTAAAAATGGTATGCTTTTGTTTTCTCTTGGAAGTTCAGTAACACAATTTATTTTTATAGACATTTTAGAGGAGGTACTAAATTTCCAGTTTCCTATTATAAGGCCTGTTTTGGTACATCCTACAGTTATACAGGAACCACTAACCAACCAAAAATATTTTGTCTCACAAAAAATACCTCCAAATTGTATACAATCTAAAAAGCACTTTAATTAAATAACAACCTATACACTGTTGAAGTAACTTACTTCTTATGTTCTCCTTATCGTCAGAATTAAATAATTTAGAACATATAGGAGTCACATTCAAAATTGTGAACGACATTTTAATTAAAAAGTATACTCTTGAACTATTACAGGTATTGTACATAACATTACATACTTTCCACTTATTTTCCACCTCATTTAAGGCTATTTAACGGATTTACTATGTAAAATGCAGATTTGTTTATTTAAAAAGATGAAAACAAGATGAAAACATTCTATAATTTCAAATCATAACGATTGTTTTAATTATTTGCATGTATCTATGGATGCATGCAACGACTTTTGACCAACTTTTGACAATTCCTTTATGCGCATGCTGACTGTTTGATTTGTACACTTATTTTATAAAATTACTGCAAAATATTTTTATTGATTATAAATTTATTCATACGAATTTTTTAAAAATATTCCTATTCTTAACCCATTCTTTTAAAGTAGAAGGTATATACAAACATAGTATAACAGTTGTTTTTCAACTGTTTCAATCTGTTTTCATCTATGATTTTCATCCTGCAAGTGGAAATAAACAACTTTATTATTGGCTTTATTCAATAAAAAAAAGGTGAATAAACGACTAATAAGTTTTATACACGTATTTTATAAAGAATTCTAATAAGCATTTCTAAAGCATGAACTATTTTGTAAGGTTTAGGGTGTTGCGGCCGAAAGGATTCATAGTGTACAAGAATTTTTCTCACACATAAAAAAAATGTAGTAAAATTTGATAATTAACGTACTTTTCTTCAAATTTCAGTGTTTGATGATGTCTACTAAAGGGTAAAATTGCTAGTTAGCTTGAATTTTTGGAATGTTATCAAATATTACATTGTCATAGTAGTTACTAGTAAATTTCTTTCACTGCACTTCTATTAGCATCACTATGAGTAATACTAGTTAAAAAATATTTTCTTAATTTTCAGAAATTCTTTACTGAGAAAATCCTATTTTCTACACACTGCAATATTCTCCCAGTCTGGATAATGCTATAGTCAAGGTAATACTTCANGACTCATGTGAGTGTTCTTGTGTACCATTTGAATATTTAGGATTTTTTTGTTCGTAAGTAAAAGCATAAAGAAAATCATTATATATTTTTTGTATTTTATCAGGAGATTTTATACTACCTTGAGTAACATTACAAGCAGAAGTTTCATTCGTTTTCTTTTGTGGCTTTTCAGAATTAATTTCTAAATTTTGTTTCTCAGTTTCATTTGCTACTAATATGCCAGTACTTTCATACTTTAATTTTCCTGGTACTGGTGAATTTCCTTTAATTTTAAACTCTATTTTGCTTTCGTTACAAGCTGATATCGTTAATTTTTCGTTATTTGATTGTTTCGACTGAGGAAATGATGCATTTATTTGTTTATTTGATTCTGTATTTTCAAGTATATCATTTTTTATTTCTTTTATAGGTGTTACTCGAAGACGAATAAGAGAAACTGCCGAGTTTTTGCTTTTTTCTTTTCCTTTTTTTGGTGTTAAGCGAACACGGGTTGAAAGTCTTTCTATGTTCCTCTCTTTAAAAGATGAATTGGAATAATTTGTCCTAAACTGTTTTCCAGCTTCATAAATAGTATCTACATTAATACTCTGCTCGAAACTGTCCTTTGAATATTTATTATGAATTTTATGTTCTTGATAAACGGTATTTTTGTTAGTTTTAAAAGTTATAGCTTTTTCTTTCATTACGCTTTTACTTTTTTGATCTTTGTGATAATCTTTTCTTGGCGATATTTTAACACGGATTAGCGAAACAGATTTTCTGTTATTTTCCTTGTTCCTGCTTATTCTAGAACGTTTCTGCTTTTTTTCATTAGATAATGAATTCCATAAACAAGTCTGTTTATTATTTTGGTACCTACTGCTACAGTTATTTTCAGTTAAATTATTTAACTTGTCTTTCTCATAATCAGAAGATAGTTTCTCAATCATCATTTTATCATGATCATAGTATATTTCATTTTCTTCAACATCTTTTATGTTATGTTTGAAATGAACATTAGTTTTTGAAAATTCCTGTTCATTGTTTATTGGTTCTGAACAAAATTCCAGATTTGTACCAATTTTTAAATTTTCTTTATTCTCTATGAAAGTATTTACATTATAAACTATTTCAGAATTTTCATCGTCATTTTCATTAATGATTTGTACTTCGAATTCAGACTTTTCATCATTTTTTTGATCATTAGGTTTCATAAGTATTTTATCTAAATCATGAAACTGATTATTGGAGGTTTCTTTTTCGTTTGGAACACATTCAAATTCTGTTACACAAGATGAATTCAAAATGTCACAAGTTTCAACTCTTTGATTCAGTGAAGTTAAAAAACCACTTTCTATATCTTTATTTGAGAAGCCCATGCTATTATTAATTTCTCTCAAAACTTCATTTTCGTTGTTGATGAGATATTCTTCATTAATTTCACATTTAGTTACATTTTTTAAATCACTGGAGCTAACATCTAATTCAAATTGATTTTTTGTTGGACTTATTTGTATTGATAAATTATTACCATGAATATTATCACAACTTGGACAGCATTTTTTTGAAGTACTTTGAACCATACCATCCACTAATTCACTAGCATTCTTCTTAAAGGAAAAATAAGTATAAAATATAAAAAAACAGATCAGTTTTTTATTATAACATACCTTACGAAGATTTGGTGAGAAATTTAATCCTTTTCTTTTGGTACTTGAACTATTTTTTGAGCAGTTTTTCCTCGTTTTCTGAAATAAAAATCCTTTTTTTAGTCGGCTTTTAAAAAATATTATGCTCTTTACAACTTACTATTAAAATACTAGGCGGTGTAAAACAAATATTTTCAGATGAAACATTTTCTGACATAATTAAACGTTGACTTATACCATTTTTGTGGGATGTATCAGCATCTAAGCTTTGTTCTTTTTGTGCAATTGGGCATTTTATTATTATATTTTCACACGTTCCATCAAGAATTTGCGGATAAAAAGTAACAGACAAGCATCTGAAATGTTCCATTGTAAATAATAAAATGTAGATTCATTAAGACAAGAGAATTATTTTAATACATTCTAAACAATAAAGATTCAAATTTCAATCGGTATTCAAATTGATTCATACTTTGCATTTTATTGTGAACGTTTTTTCTTTAGAATATCTACCTAATAAAATAAATGGCCAATAACGATATAGATATGAATAATTTACGAATTGCAATTATATGTTCAAGTAATATGAATCGCAGCATGGAAGCTCACGCTTTCCTTGCAAAAAAAGGTTTCTATGTTAAGTCTTATGGAACAGGTGATAAAGTGAAATTGCCAGGATCAGCTGCTGATAAACCAAATATATATGATTTTGGTGTTTCATATGATGAAATATACAACGATTTAATCAGCAAAGACAAAACTTTGTATCCTCTTCAAATCAATTTATATATGTTGTATACAGTGTACTATTTTTTCCTTAATGTTTAAAAGATATACTCAAAATGGTTTGCTACATACATTAGATAGAAATAGAAGAATTAAAACAAAACCAGAAAAATTTCAAGAATGCACAGAAAAATTCGATATTTTAATAACATGTGAGGAACGTGTTTATGATCAAGTATTAGAATATATGGAAAATAAAACACCATCAGATAATTCAATAGTTCATGTGATAAATATTGATATTCAGGATAATTTAGAAGAAGCAACAATAGGTGCATTTTTAATAAGTGATATGTGTACCATGGTATGCTCAATTGTCTGCTAATGTTATTTTTTTAATAATTTATGTAATTTTAGATGGCAAAATCTGATGATTTGGACAATGATATAGATGAAGTTTTACATAGCTTTGAGGAAAAATGTGAAAGACCTATTCTACACAGCATTGTTTTTAATTGATTTGCTTTTAGGTGAAAATTTCATGTTTTGTGATTTTTTTTCAAAATTTTATCTAAGTAATATTTTTTTGATGTTCCCATATGTTTTAAATACATAAATTTTAAAACATTAATCAAATAGAATTTAAAATTTATCAAAATATAATAACATTATCAGTATGTGTTGGAAATATGGTTCCTTTTTTGTGAAATTAATTGTTGCATTAAAACAATTTAGCAAAGTAATTCAATATTTATTTTCTTTTTCAAGGAAAAACAAATTCATTCATTCGGTTGGTTTGTAATTAATGTTCATCTAAATGAGCATAGACTCGTCTTAATTTTTCCCTTTTTTTCTTATTTTCATACTTGTTAATTTTTTTCCAAGGTTTATCACATCTTAAGGACTGTTGTGACTCAAGAGATGCTTCCCTGTAAATGGTAAAATTATACAAGGAATACTACTACAATATAACATACAAACTTGCCTAATTATATGATTTGCTCCAATATTAGGAATTATTTGGCCCTTCACATGTAAACCTTGTGTTTTTGAGTAAAAAAAAGAGTTGTCCAAATCTTCACTTGTTATTCTGTTAGACTACAAAACATCATAGTTGTTTTATTATTATTTCATTATGCAGTTGAAATATACAAACCCTGATGGCTCTTGCTTGTCTGGGTGGCAATGTTCTATTTATACACCCATTATTTTTCCTCTGAGGCCAAATTTGGTATTCATTTTGATTAACATTGGGTGGTGCATGAGCAAAAAGAAGTTTACCATTTACAAAATCTTTTAATATGTATCTTGCAGCTCTTGGATTATCAGGCTGACCATTAGCTGTCATAAAACCTCTATTATCTAAAACAAAATAATGTAGAAAATATATATGTCTAAGGAATTAAAATAACTTACAGCCATAAGCATTTAATAGTTCTTCTGCAAAAGGAGGCCTTTCTGGATCTTCACCTTCCAGAGGTTTTGGCAGCATCAGCCCATACTTATCTTCCAGAATGTGTCTGGGTATTAAGTTACAAATAAGATTAATAGGAGGCACATGATCCCGCATTTGATCAATCGGTAAAATTCCATTAATGATCATTTCTGCTTTTGTAAACACAAAACTAGGCATAACAAGACCAGGGCAGTCACATAAAAGAATGTCTTTGTCCAAAAATAATGTTTGAAAATGTTTAGTTTTCCCAGGAGTTGCCGATACAGACACTTTTTTTACTGTCATTAGGTTATTTATTGTAGAACTTTTTCCTACATTAGGATATCCTACCATACCAATGGTAGTTAGACCTTCAGTTACTTTCTTTCCTGAATGAGTTACCTTAAAAAATTGAATAAGTTCTTCCCTTGTTAAAATCTCAGGTGAATTGCTAATGTCAGGACTTTGAGGTCTGGAAGTTAAAATATTTATACATTCTGATGTTGCTTCCCCATTATTGTTGATTATAACATTATCTTCATGTGAAGTAAGATTTTTTACAGTATCTGATTTCTCTAATGAAATAGTTTCAGAACTGTTAGGTTTGTTTAGTAGTTTCTCTACTTTATTAATAATGTGTGAAAGAGCATTTGCAGCTTTATCAACATTTTCTTCTAATTTTCCTACTTTTAATTTTAATATTTCAACATTAGTTGTTTCTAAATCTGCATTGTTTTGAGTTTCATTTTTATCTTCATTAGTTTTCTTATTGGTCTTTTTTTCTTCAATTATTGCTGAAAAGAAAGCAATCCTTATTCCAACTGACTCAAAATATTTTGCCCAAATTTCTCTTTGGTTTTTAGTTAAAAAGTCAGCTTTGTTGATTAATATTAAATTTACTTTATCCTCAGATATGTCTTTCACATAGTTTTCTAAATCTTCACATCGAAATAGTAGAGGATTTCTAGCATCAACAATTTGTACTATAACATCACTTTTTTCAATAACCCTCCAAAGTTGACGCCAAAATTCTAGATTTTTTTCAAACGGTGTTAATAATAAACCTTCTTCTTCTTGAAGTTCAGCTAAGGAACGTCTCCATTTCAAAAAATTATCTCTTTCTAAACATTGTAATTCTTCTGCAGACATCTTGGGAGTCCAGAAAGGCCTATTTTTTATTTTTGTAAACATTCATTTTATGTTAAATGTATAATTATGTAGTATCTTACCTGCGTGGTATTTGAATAAGATGTTTATGTTTTTCATGTGCAATAATTTTAGTCATTTTTTCAGAATCAGATAGTAATCCTACATTTGATTTAGGGTTGACAAATGTTATATTTAACTTTTCAGCTTGAAACTCTGTTCCAGCTAATTCAGCAGTGGAAAGAAACTCTTGAAATGATGATTCTTCTGTTACAGATTGCAAGTTCAATCTGCCCCAGTCATAACCATCCAGTAGTTCTGTTGTATGTAGCTGTAATAATGAAGCATTGGTAATCCATTCAAAAAAATTATGCTGTACAAATTTTGCATTATATCTACATTTTAATTGCTTACCATGGATTTGTCTGCCACAAATTTTCCATTTCTACCTCTAAAGCGATCTCTAACTAAGGATTTACCTAAACTAGAATTGCTTTTATTTTTCTTTCCCATTATAATGTATTTAATATATTACTTTTGATTATTACTCGTCTTGTAATGAGGAATCATGACATTTTCTGATTTTTACTACCGAATTTGATAAGTACAGATTTTGATAAGGGATAGGTTA